CCTTTAAACTTATCCTCCTTTAATAAAAAAGCAAAACTCAAGGCTTTTGTTGAAAGAATATCGTCAGTAATAATGAGACTAGCTTTGAGTGCGTTATCTACCCATATTACTAATGCTTTTTTAATAAGAGGGAATGGAGTTTTCTTATCACGTTTCAAATTGGCTTAGTATGAATTGGTATCCACAGAAAGCTAACGGGTTTTCTCCTTTAAAATGTCACTTACCATGCCTTTACTAACGTCATATTTATTAGCCAAGTCTTTTTGTTTTAAAAAAGATGATGATGTTTTTTTCAAATAAAGTTCTTTTTTTTGTGTAGCTGTAAGAGACTTTCATTTTTTTTTTAAAGGTTCATCTTGTTTGTTAGTAGTTTGATTAATTTGTTTCTTTAAGTTTACTTTTGGCATTATTGGCATTATGCAAATAAAAAAAACACTTAAAAAAATAAAATATGTAAAAAAGAAATATGAAATACAAGACAACTTGTAATGTGAATATTTATTCATTTTTTAAATTCATTTAAAAATTATATAATTTTATATACATAAATCTAGTAAAATTCATTTTAAGCAAAACTTCGTTGTATCAAAAAAAAATTAGTTATAGAGAAAATTCGTTATAAAAAGAGTCATTTTATATATAAATTTTTCTGACTTTAATTTGTTAAACGTAGTATGAATTTTTAATTACTAAATTCGGTATAGTAAGGGTTTTTTATATTTAAAAATCTGTCTGACACTGAAAATCCATTATATTGTAAAATTCATTATATCAAAATTCGTTATAGAAAGAGTTGACTGTATATTGCAAAGACTGATGCGATAAATGTAGCTTATAATCTAACTAATAAAAATTTGTGTCACTTTAATAAGCTTTACCTAAATTTTTTTTTTTGTATTTTTTCAAAGCATAGAAAATGTGTATAATATTAACATGTATTTCATTAAAATTATATATAAATTCTTAATGTGATAGAATATTGACCCTTTATCATTTGTGATTTGAAAGATTCATACTAAGGATGAAATTGTGATGAGAAATATTTGAATTTAAATTTTCACAAGAGGTGTAACTTCCACATCATTTTTCTATAGCACCTTTCTGCAGTGATGTGACACTATTCAAGCAAGAAAGGCATCATCTAATGATGTTACACTTCTGTTAGCAGAGGATGCTAAGTTTCATTCTTTGATAAATTTATTATCAAAATCTAACGTTGGATAATAAATTTGGATTGGTGTAGGTTTATGAAGCTTCATAAACTTGTTCAATTAGTGGATATAATACCGCATTTGTTAAAGACACTTCTATTATTGTTTCTGAACTGCTTCACGAATCATTTTCAAAGGTGCTTTTTGCATAAGAATGATGCTGAACCTTTAAAGAAGTATGATGAACAAGTTGTAGAAATTTTGTGTCAGAACTCAATACAGTTTTTTTCTCTTGTCGAACTATTTCTAGCTCAATGGATTAATACATAAGTTGGAAATTCTGATTTTCATCATACTTCTGGAAAAAGATATCAATACATTTTTATCCGATCCAGAAAATATTGTTCAGTTAAGTATGTACACGTAGCTACTGTTGCTACATACTAAAGTTCTATATGCTTTAGTAGTCTATTATTAGCTAATCTGAAAAGCTTAGGAACCTGATCCTTGAAAAACTCATTTATTAGGATTACCTGGTACAATTGTGAAAGAACTTGAGAACTATGATTATATGGAAACAGAATCAAATTGTATTTTTGAAGGATATTTTAATTAGTACATTATCGGAACTAGAGATTAATTTAACCAAGTTTCTTTACAAGATGATGAGAGATGAAATAATATTTAAGGTTTGGGAAATGGCTTTCCAATTTATGGCACGAATTAGAGTTCTGAAAGGAATTTTACAATTCTTTGATGCTTGCAATCACGGAATAGATTGTTGAAAATTTCAACTAGACAAGCGTAGTTGTAGTGAATTGCATTATTAAATTTTTGTAATTTTTAGTTTATTCAATTGATTTATTGAAATTGCAAACAACCATCTTATATATCCAAGAAACTAAAATTAGTTGCAAAAATTCGGTATTAGAGATTTAGGCGATTGATTTTTAAGGAGAGTCAATACTAGATTCAGTTAACCATTAGAACAGATTGTGAATTTTATTTTACAAGTAAAAGTATTGGAACTCTTGAATGGTATATTTATTGTCTTTATATATTTAATGTATAATATTATTATTCTATCATGGGGTCATTTTTCACTAACACATTATTATCCATGAATGTCAAAGAATTTGAACTTTCTGATAAGGAAAATTCTACAATGTTAAGTGAATTTTCTACAATCCAATTAAACGTGATAGAAATTTTGAAGATTTATTTATTAATTAATTTTTCGGATGGTGTTTAGTTATCATCTTAATCTTTACCTTATCATAATTGCACTGACCGGTGAGGCCCCGGAAATCCAGTTCCTCCACGTAATTCAAATTACGTGTTCCAGTCATTAAAGAAATTGGCTACTTGGATGGCTGAAAATAAAGACACAATTATTCATCTGTCATCTGGTAGACTTTTTTTTCACTTGTTTTGAAATTTATTGATTTAATTCTAATTAATATTGGTTGTGTCAATTGCTATCTATTATTGCTAGCATTCCGATACCTTCACTTCGAAATACTTTTTGATATTTAAAATTATGATACAATAGCTACAGAGATCTGTTTCTTATTTGTTTCTTCATCATTTCCGCATTTCTTACCAACTGAAAAAAGTTTTTCGGGATGTTTAATTGCTCGTCGTCAACAAAGGTTTTTTTTTACTTTTTATGGTGTAGGTATAATTTATTTATAGCCGGAGGATTGATAGATATTGATCAAGCTATATAAGATATAGAAAAATTAGCGTTTTTGGGTAAAAATTATAGTTTAGCAAATAAGATCCATGACACAGATATGGTGATTTAGAAGATATAGGCTAGACGGAAATGACATCAAAAAAAAAGAATTCACGTGTTTTATAACCTTTAACAAATATTTTTCATAGGAACAAAGTAAGTTTAGTTCGAGGGGTTTTTGAGTTGTATTTTATCAAATGGTATGTTGCAATATTTAATTCTTTCTTCATAAATAATTAATAAATTTTTTTACAAATCGTTCTCCTTAATAAAACGCTCTTAAAAAAGGAAAGTAGATAAGACTGATTGGGGTTCAATCATATGCTGTTTAATGGAACTTGGTGGACATTCTATTTAAGCGACTAGATTAATTTTTGAAGGAAGACTTGGGTTTTAACGTTGTTCATATTGATATTACTTGTATATATGCAATTGCTTATATACATTTTTTGATCTGAAATTTTTTTATCTTTAGATTAGGAGCTAATGTGCTTGGTACTCTGGACGCTAAAACTTGCCTTAGGTTCATTCACATCAAACCTTTCAATTTTGTTTGTTTAATTACTTATTAGATTATTTATAAAAATGATGATTTAATAATAAGATATAAATTTTTTTATTTTGGTAATAAACACGGTCAGAATATATATATAATAAATAAGATAAAAAATAATAAAGATAATTCAACTAATATGAAATTACTATGCTACATTTCCCCGATAATAATACCATTTCACTTAATTTATAGCCCCAATTTCTATTAACCTTTTTCTAACTAAAAAGTAAATGTTATCTTTGTTTTTTTAAAAAAGAAGTCTAAATTTTAATTTTACTAAAGAACAAAAAATATTAATGTTTATATTATAAAAACTCCAAAACCAACAGCTTTTCGCTTTCTAGTCCTTGGAGTAGTCACCAGCTGATAAAATATCAACGAGTTGTAAACGGTTCTCTTTTGACGGGTGAAGAACGTCATAGTCTTATTTGGATGCTTTTTTTATAAAAAGCCCAGCGTTTTGAATTTGAATCCACACATTGGTGAATCCGTAATTTTTTTTAAAAATATACTCGGTTTTATTTTTGTTAAAATAACAGGTTTCAGTATATTTGTTATAAGATATATTATAGAAGTTATTGTTCATTTTATTTTTTAATTTTGAATAATAATTAAAGACATTTGATGTTTTATAAAAAATTTTTAGTGTGAAAAGTGAAAAGGTGAATTTTTTTTTTGAGCAAAAGCGTAAAATCTGGTCGTCTTTTAAAACGAATTTTTTTTAATCGAGAACAAAAGCTTTCGTTGGCATTTGATTTGTGGCGGAATACTCAGCATAAAATATGACTAATTTTAGCTAGGCGTTTTTGAAACAAAAATTTATGTCGTATCCTTTATTAAACCTAATATAGTAAGGTCAAGGCGCAATAATTTATAATTCCGTGTCTATCAAAAATCATACCGATTTATCAAGAACCATACCGATACCGATATTGGTACCGATACAACACATCTATCTGATCTAAAGAATAATCCTTCGCACCCTTATCAAAGATTACAAAAATGATATTTTCGAATTTTTGACTCGAACCCGCAATCAAAAATATTGTATATTAGTAAAAATATGATCACAAAAAAGCATTGATTCCCGTTTTTTCTTACAAGAACTTTCGGTAGAAAAGCTTCGTGTCATATAATCATTTTCGATAATTTCTGATATAACCATAAATCACGTGAATTGCTTCTTTGATTTCTGCGGTAAGTTTACCGTCGATCTCCGCATTAATAAACGCATTCATGGAGATTTTTTATTGGAGACAAACACATTGTAACGATGCCAACCGAACTAACTATCAAAAAAAAAACAATGGCCGAGGTCATAAATGGCGAGTTTTCCGAAACGTTAATCGAAGATGTTAAATTGTTCATGATAATACGATGCGTAGTAAAATTTTTAATTAAACCAATTGTAATGCGTAAAAAGATGCTCCTTGCAAGAAAGAATTTTGCTATTTAAAACAGTAGTTCCGTTCTGCTATATCCTAATCGTGTTTTGAATAATCTTATCCAAAAAATGGTTTTCGAGTGATTAAAAATTTGAATGCACAAGTGCAACCAAATGAATATAGTATATCACGTGAAATGGTTTTGAGTATATTTTTGTTATACTAAACAGACCTAACCTAACCCTAAACTAACCCTAACTTATAAAAGGTCATACTCAATATCAATTATACCATACAATACTACCATACTCCGTCTTACCTACATCAAGTAGGGTGATAAAAATTTATCATTTACTGATCACAATTTGAATTTTAATCTTGTGAAAAAAACGGTGACGGTTTATTATGTAATTTTGAACTAGTTAATGTACTTTTCTTTTAGGGTAATTATTTTAAGAACTAACCTTAACCTTCACACTATTAAATTTTTAATTTGTTTTTATATGAATATTGTTATGTGTAATTTTTAGAAAGGAACAATATTTTGAAGAAATTGTTGATCATTTATTCTTCGAAAATGTTGATCAACACACAAGAAATTAGAAAATTGAAAAGAAAAAAATGCAATGATTCAAGTTTGAAAATTAAAATTAGTTTAGATTGTATCTTTCAACATTCGAAATTTACATATTGAAGTATCAAATATTTTGGGTATAGCTATGTCTAAAATATAAACAGAAGCGATTCTTATATTCTTATATTACATATTTTTACTATTTATCCTTTTTTTAAAAATTATAAAAAAAAAAACGCATATAATGGCTTATAAGTAAGGATAAGAGAAATAAAAAATTTTCGAAATTCACCACACAACCTTTCGAATAATAAAATAATAATTAAAACAAAGATATTTCGAAATAATATCTTAACATTATTATACATATAAAAAAAAAAAAGATATTTTTTTTTCGAAAAAATATCAAAAAAAAAAATTGTTTTAATCAGGATGTCGAATTATCCGGATTTTCATTTGTTCCGAATACATACGGTGGATCTCGCTCATGGCTGAACTTATCTCTGAACGTGCGGGATCTAGCATACCTCCCGTTAGCATCCCGATCGCGTTTTGTGACTTTTCGAATCGTTTTTATTCGTTTACCCCATTTCTTTCGGGCCTCCCTCCTAATCATGATCCGTTTCTCTTGTTTCGGGTTTAATGGTCTATTAGGAGGGGGGGACGATGCGACATTCACAACATTCACAAACTTGTAATTACGGATCGGTGTCTATTGTGTATTTAAAAGAAAAGTTTAGGAAAAAGACATAGTTGTAAGTAAAAAAAAATCTTTAACATATTATTAAAAAATAAATTTATGACTTTTTACTTACATTCATTTTAAAAGAAAATCGAATTATAAACGAAGTTAAATTTTTTTTTTATTTTTTTTTTTCTTGTAGAATGTATCGGACTATCCAGCTTTATATATTGAAAATAATTCAATAAATTATTATTGCCAATTGATTATATTAAATTTCGACTTTAATTTATTGGAAATAGAGTTAGTTAGTTAGTTTACACAATTTAATAAAACTTATATTATATCAAATAAATAAAAAACAATCAAAATTTATAAATATTTACAGCATGTTTTGTAAATAAAGATTCATTTGATAATAATAATAACGAATCATTGAAAGTGAAACGGTAAAACATTGCAAAACCATTCAAAGTAGGGATTGGAATCGATTGATTTAATCGAAAATCGATTGATAGAAAATCGAATAAAAAAAATCGATCGCTTGAAAATAAATAATAAAAATAATAAAGTTTAAAAAAATAACTTAAATAAATAATTAAAAATTTAATTAAAAAGCACTTATCGCGTACGTCCAAAAATCTTCATATATATATTGATTAGAATCTTAAACGAAACTGA